GGCTAGGAATTGGGGTCCTACCTTTTTGGTCCTAAATCCAGTAGCATAATTTCCTGTCCTTGTACTTCTGGGCCCAAGTGAGACGGAAAGCTGGTTTCTGGGTGTTTTACCCACCTTTGTACCCAGAACATTCATCATATGTCTGAAACCAATTTCCACAAACATCTCTTCACTTTGGTCTTTATTTCCTATCTAATTTCTTGTTACTATCTTGCCCTGGTTAACTATTTCCTTCTGTCTCCCCAAACTTAAGAGAGAAAAGAGTCCTCATGTTTCTGTCCTAGTATTAACTCTAGGGATGTTCATGCATTCAGCTAGGTCCTCTGTAAATATAATAGATGACTTTATTGACATCCTGTCCTGGAATTTTAAGTCTCTGTTGGATACAGGAAGTTTATTCCACAAGCTTGTTCCAGAAGTAGAAAAGTTAACATTTCTATAAAGCTAGGCTGTTGCTTAGAACCCGAACTTGTTTGGTTCCTAAACTTTTCTAGCATCAATGTGACATAAGAAGTTGTGTATGTTTATGGAAGAAAGGGAATTTCAACAAACCCTAATTTAGTTTGGAGGAGTTGTCCTCTGAGTGTGATTCCCCAAGCCCTAGGTGATTTCAATTGTGTAAGATGAATAAGTTCTGAATAAGCTACTGCAGAGTTAAAAAGAATATTTTTTCTTGTTTGGTTTTTTGTTTTCGTTTTCTGTTGGTTATGGTGCTTGAACTCTGGGCCTGGGCGCTTGAGCTTTGCTCAAGGAGAGTGCTCTACCACTTGAGCTACAGCATCACTTCCAGTTTTCTGGTGGTTAACGGGAGATAAGAGTTCACTGACTTTCCTGCCCGGACTGGCTTTGAACCGTGATCCTCAGATCTCAGCCTCCTGAGTAGCTAATATTACAAGGCATGAGCCACCAGCACCTGGCCAAAAACCAAAAACAAAAATGTATATTTGAAATTTTCAAAGAGAAAAGAGCTTAAACACACACACAGAATACAAATTGTAATTCTGCTAAGTGATGGATATGTTAACTAAATAATGGCATTTCACAATATTATTCTTTCTCCATATTCAGAGCTAAGTGACTCAGCTTCCTGTTTGTAAATAGAAAGTGCTCTCCAACACCTACAGATCCATCTCTGCTTTTAGGCTTCATGTTACATGCAAGTCTAGGTAATATTTTACCTGGTAGTTTGCTGGCATCCTTGTTTTAATTATTTATGTATGGTGGTCACATACTTAACACTTTTAAACACCATTTTTTAAAAGCCTGATAACCCAGTTATCTTCTGTTAACAGTGACCCAGCTTTTGCTAAATTAGAAGTGAGGGTTTGCAGCAGAGGGGAGCATTCCAAGTCACCCAACAATTTCCAAACCCAAGTATTTGCATGGCTATGGATCATGACAGAAGCTGTCAGGCCAGCCTGGAGACCTCAGTGATGAATATTCTAAAGTTATTTCTGGACTGGATGATTGATGTTTCCAATAGAAGATGACATTTTGATGGAAGCTAAATGTGCTGTGATAGAGTTAATGAGGATAATGATGATGATAATGATATTTACATTGTATCTTTCTTCCAAAGAACCCTTTTATCTCATTTGTGTTGAGAATGTCCCTCTGGAGTTGAAGGGGGGGGGAGGGGGAGGTGTTATTAAACTCTTCTTGAGAAGAGCAAATAGAGAGAGAGTTAATTGCCTGGCTTTCAGACTCAATTTTGATGGGAGGAAGAAATGTTTAGATAAACTGGGAGGAATTAAACTTTGAGAAATACCAGTCTTTCTCGGTTCCCAATTGTCCTACTTGATGATCCCAGGTCAAGCTCCAATAATGTCACTCCTTGCTCTTAAAGTCTTCCAGATACTGCCCATTCAGTTCAATTACCCTAACTCTGAAGGATGGACCCTTCACATTCCAATCTACATTATGTCTCAAGTTGTAGCCCAACAGATGCACTCACTGTCCCTACTATGTGTCTGAGCACCCTATTTTGCTGTCTTCTGGGGCCTGAAACTCTGGGCCTGAACACTGTCCCTCAGCTTTTCAGCTCAAGGAAAGTGTTCTACCACTTGAGCCACAGCACCAGTTCTGTTTTTTTCTGCTTATGTGGTGCTGAGGAATCAAACCCAGGACCTCATGCATGCAAGGAAAGCACTCTACCATCGAGCCATCTTCCCAGCCCCCTTATTTTACTTTCATAAAACTTGTCACCCTTTCTGTAACTTGTCCGGTATTTGTCTTCTTGGCCTCAGGGAACCCACAGGAAAGCAGGGAGTGTCATTCTTGTATCCCCAGGATCTAGCCGAGATAAGTGTGGCACATAGGAGGTGCTCAACAACCACGTTTCTGAAGTGTACGCTATGCACCTTCCCTCACGGTGTTCTCCACCCAGAGAGCCAGAGCCAGCATTTTAAGTCCAGATTCTTCTCCATGACTCGACTCCGGAAGTTCCTGACATTGCTCCTTGATAATTCTTACCTTATTTCTTGTTGTGTTCAGTCATTTATATACATGTGCTGTCATCTACCTGCCTCTCACAAAGAGCTCTCAAAATACAGGAATTTGCATCCCAGATATGTGCTCATTTGTCTAAAATATTTGTTGACAAGTTTCTTTTCTTTTCTTTTTTCTTTCTTTCTTTCTCTTTTTTTTGTGCTTATTTTAGGGCTTGAACTCAGGGCCTGCGCACTGTCTCTGAGCTTTTGTGCTCAAGGCTAGTGATCTACCACTTGAGCCACAGCTCTACTTCTGGCTTTTTGGTGGTTAATTGGAAATAAAGAGTATTATGGACTTTCTGGTTTGAGCTGGCTTCAAACTACAATCCCTAGATCTTAGCCTTTCCAGTTGCTAGGATTACTGGTGTGAACCCCAGTTCCTGGCTGACAAGTGTTCTTAATTGAGCAAAAGTCCAATTTCCAGAACATGTAGCTTGTCTCATTCTTCCCTCATTCTTTTGAAAGACTGGGAGGAAAATCAGTTGGGGAGCCCTGCCAACTCTGCCCTTAAAGAGAACTGCTTTATCTCTTGGTTGGAGAACACTATACTCTGACACTCAGGCGCAGGGTTCTGTTTTGTGTTGGGCACTGAACAACAAAAAGGGATGCTACCTGCATTTATAGTTTGTATTTTATTTTGTGTTGGCCCTGGGGTGTAAACTCAGGGATTGGCACTGATTACATGTGTAAGTCATTGGTGCCCCAGTGCCCTTTTATTTTTAGCTTCATTGCCAAGGCCAATGCCAATGCCAACTAGAATAATGGAGAGTAAGAGCTACTGAGAAGATGTGATAAAATCAATAACCTCTCAGGGAATTGTGTACTCTGTGCATCTGGTGAGGATTCCCATGCCCCAGCCGGTTGTAAGAATACATCAGATTGTACTAACTATGGGGTGTGTGAAAGCTTATAATCAGCACAGTTTTGATAGCCTGAAGACCCCCAGGTAATAGCAATCAAGCATATTGACCATCTGTGATAGAACACCCAGTGTCATTTAGAAAGAGCCACTTCAACAACTGTATTGTGGAATACTCATGGCTGTTGAAAATTGATGTTGTAGATCTCTATTTATTGAGATGGAAAGGTGCCCATAATATATTACTATGTGAAGAAAGCAGGCTCTAGGAGTGTATGATTATGTAAAATTATCCCATATTTATACCAATATCTATTTATAAATGCATGGATGTTCTTAAAAATGTTAATAGTAATCTCTGGGTGATGAAATTTTGAGTATTTTTCTTTATTTTTATAGTAATTTTTGGTATTGCTTAGATTTTATTTTTATAGTTTGCAGTTATTTTTTAACAATAAAAACACAGCTCTCTTTCAGCTTACAAAAATAGTTGGAAATGTGACAAGAAAACTGCATTTAAAAACCTTCAAATATCCTGAGCTGGGATTGTGGCCTAGTGTTAGAGTTGCTTGACTAGCATGCATGAAGCCCTGGGTTCCATTCCTCAGTACCACATAAACAGAAAAAGCCAGAAATGGCTCTGTGGCTCAAGTAGTAGAGTGCTAGCCTTGAGCAAAAAGAAGCTCAAGGACAGTGCCCAGGCCCTGAGTTTGAGCCCCAGGACTGGCAAAATAAATAAATAAATAAATAAAATAAAAAGCTTTTCAAGTATCCTAAAGGATGCTTACTGTGAAGCAAAGCAAGCAAACAAAAACAAAAAAACAAAAATAAAAACAAACCCCAAATTCTTCCATGAGCAAACATAAAGATTATTCCATTTCTCTATAAATAAACCAAAGAAAGCTGGCTTATGTCTGTAATCCTAGCTACTTAGGGGACAGAGCTATAAGGATCAAGATTTAAAGCCAACCAGAGCAGGGAAGTCCCTGAGATTCTTATCTCCAATTAACCTCCTGAAAATGGAAGTGGCACTGTGGCTCAAAGTGGTAGAATGCTAGCCTTGAGCAAAAGAGCTCAGAGACAATCCCAGGCCCAGAGTTCAAGCCCCACCATCAACAAAAAACAAACAAACAAAAAACCCTGAGAAGGTGTCCTCTATGGTTAACAGTAAAAGGGAAGAGACAGACCAGTTGGGTGCCAGTGGCTCACAGCCTCAGCTACTCAGGAGCCTGAGATCTGAGGATTGTGGTTTGAAGCCAGCCTCAGTAGCAAAAAGCCGGAAGTGGAGCTATGGCTCAAGTGATAGAGCACTAGCCTTGAGCACAAAAGCTCAGGGACAGTGTCTGGTCCAGAATTCAAGCCCTAGGACTGACAAAACAAAACAAAAAGACTGTTTCTAAGGAGAAGTATAGCTGACATTCAGCTCTTTTGACTGAGCAAGCATAGTGTACATGCTTTGTAAATGTCTCCAGTATAAAGCTCTTTTCAATTATTATTTTGCCCAAGCTTTGATGACAGCTAATTGACAGGTACAGAATTTCAAATTTCATTGCTAGAGACAAGGGAGAAAATATCCTATGTCTGATGGCAAACAAATGATGGCTTTATTCCCCCATGATAGTTACCATTGCAAAAAAGAGACGCGCCACTGGTCAGAGTACAACTCATACTTTATTCCGTCGTGATGGGTACACATGTAGGATTGGGCAGCAAGAGACTAAAATCAGTGCAGATCTTCTCTGGACAAACAGGCCGTGGAAGGCATTACTGGTTTTGGCACACAGAGTGGCTGAAACATGATGGGTAGGAAAATAAAATACACAAGTATAACACCATGATGACGTTATGTTGGAGCTGTGTATCATGTTAAAGGGTAAATAAGTATAGACGAACATGCAGCTTTATGTACGTTACATTATTCATCTACCAACTATTCCCCCACCTTTGAGATGAAGAAATGGCCTTAGTAATAGTCTGTGAACACTCACAGACACTTTCAAAGAACTATCAATACACTTTAGAGAGATGGCCACACGGATTTCCATAGCAAGCCAGATAGTTGAAGAAATAATGCTAAATGAGGCATTTGCACTATATCATCTTTAGTTAGATTGCATAAGACTGATCAAGTAACTCTGACTCACCTCTTACTTCAATATAAGTCCTCATGTCATTATAATGCCTATAGCGGGGTTCTTTTAGTTTTTCATCATTATAAGTCACAGGGACCCTTTTCAAAGGGAATACTATACTGATGAGAAGTAATTCTATTATTATGCTGGGAATATTACATCATTATATCACACAGAGAGTGCAAAGAAGTCAGCCCATTAGGTAATATAGCAGTACAGAATAAGATGTAGAAGAGGCATAGAGATTCTGAGTGATCTCAACAAGAAAAAAAGAAGGAAAGAAAAAAAAAAAAGAAAAAAGAAGCAAAGGAAAGGGAAAATGAAAAACTGCCCTGGGCAGAGCAAATTGATACAAAGAAAAATCTATTCACTTATAATTGGCTAAATATCATAGAGAACAGCCCTCTGATTTGGGATGATAGAAGGAATGTTATTGAAAATTACATGCCAGTTAGCCCCCACTGGCTGGCTGGATTGGTTTTGCCCGTGGTTGTTTTTGAGATGGTGAGCTCTCATAGGGAGAAATTCTGCCTTATGCCAGGGTAGGGCTAGATTTAACCCCAAGGGGCAGCCATAATCGCAGAGAACAATTTTCTTTATTAACTTAGGCATGTGGCTAGCCTTCATTCTCTCCAGTACAAACATATTATTCACCCATGATGAGATGTTTCACAAAACAATAGCCACCAGATAATGGTTCATTCACAGAATGCACATAGGTCTTTGCATGTGATATGAATTTGTGAGTGAGTTAAACAACAGGAAAGAGGGTCAAATTTCTGGAAGAAAGTCAATTAAATGAAAATAATAGATGTGGTTAAGAATGTCTTGATTTTCTCTGGTCTCTACTTTCATCTGCTGAGAAAATGAGTGAAATCACCAATGTAAGCAATGTTTGATCACAAATACAGAGGTGAGCATAGCTAGATTGGGAGTAATATTTCTCAGTCTCTTTGATTTTTAAATCTTTGGAAGGTGGAGATGGCTAGGAAGTTTGATGATATGCCTGGAAAGTCCCATTTCCCTGGCCTGATTCAGCTTCATATAAAAGAATGATCTCTCCTTTTGCAGTGGCATTGTTCTTTGTGGGAGATTTTTGTCAAATGGAAGTGGTATAATTTGAAAGCTAGAGGAAAAAGAAGTTTGACTTGAATGTCACAGTAAATATTCACTGATACTTCCAAGTGGAATCATCTGTTGTCAGAGGCTGGTTTCAAGCCCTAAGTCCTTGACTTCCTGAACAGGCTTCTTGACTGTGAGGGCTGCTCCCTCTGGCTGATACTAGACTTCAAAAATCATTCTAAGACGTGATGTCTCTTGAAAGGATGACTTTGATAGACCTTCACAATTGCAAGGGGTTGAAAGCTGGAAATAGGGTGAGTCAGGTTAGGGGGAAAACAGAAATAACCTGAAGGAAAAACTGAGACTTTCCTCCCAGGGCCTCTAAGACCAGTAAAGAGGCAAAAATTCATGGTATGTGACTTAGAGACTCTCTAAGATGTTGTACCCATGGGGTGTTTCCAAGTGTCCTGATCTAGGCTCCCTTAGCAACCATCTAGTGCAGATATTACTTTTGTAGGTGTGGTGCTCAACTTCTTCTGGAATTTCTATCTCTGGGGCAAACTGTTGGGATCTGCCTTGGTGTAGTGAATGCTCCCTGAAGCAGTCACAGATACGGACTGCTGGTATTAAAAGGTGTGGCCAGGGGGCAGAGGAGACTGCTGGCAGACAACATAGCCCTGAAGGAAGGTATCTAATACACAGACTTTGGATTTTCCCCAAGGCCAAGGTATTTGTGAGGGAACTAGAAAAGGTCAAAAAAATACCTTGGAACCAAATATGATTCACGATGCAGAGAAGAAAACCTAGTTTATCTGACTGATTGGGAAGACAATCTTCGGAATATATGGCAACTGAATGACTTTCACACAGATATACAAACACCATGATGAGTGTTTCCATACTATTATTAATCACATTGCAATGATTCATTAGCTTTCTATTTTCTAGGTTGCTTAATTAATTTAGCAAGTCCACAGTTTAGGTACCACCATGAGAGGAAGGAGGGTGAGGGTGCAGAAAATGAAGCAATTAAACTTGGAATTAAAATTTTGTAAACAAGAGTTAGTAGCACAGTAGATTGTCAAGGATAACAAAGGGAGTAGGTAGAGAGTCACAGGCCGGGCTTGGGCCATCTTGCTGGCTACCAGAGAGGAACTCTGTGGCTTAAGAGTCCCCCTTCTTGTTAATTAAAACCGAGCAGCAGGTGAGCAACCCATCCACTTTTTCCATTTCAGAAATGCTGACAGGGATCAGCAGATGGTCCTTCAGTTTCTCATAAACCTACAGGGGGAATCAAGGGGAAGGGAGAGAAGGATTACACTTCAGCCTGTTTGACCACCTGCAGGTGCAAAGAGTGAATTCTAAGCTTTTCAATCATTGAACCCCAACATACAAGTGCAACCTAGGCCCCCCAAACTCTCTCAACAGAGCTGGTTGCAACTGGCTAACCAGTTAAAGCATGGTGCTTTAACCTCAAAAGCAAAGATTTGTCAGAGATGTGGTTCTTGTTAGCAACGGTCTTTATCATTGTGTGGCTAGATTAAGAGATAAATAGAAGTTTATGGCCACATGTTCATTCTGATTGTTATTTGGTGTCTACAAATTAAAAAGCCCTTCCAATTAACTTTAATGTTTCTTTCCTTAGCAATACCACTGGGAAACTTATACTAGATGTACTTTAAGTGAATATTTCAGGTCATCTGCTTTTAAATTATAGGTGTGAATTTTATAGCATCTTTCAACACTAGTAGAAAACATGTGTTGAAACATTTTGTTTTGCTGTGATCAAAGCACACTTTAAAAACCAAAATCTCTTGAAAATATACTGTTGAAAAACAGTATATACTTTTTTTTTTTGGTCCGGTCATGGAGCCTGAACTCTGGGCCTGGGCGCTGTCCCTCAGCTCTTCAGCTCAAGGCTAGCGCTCTACCACTTGAGCCACAGCACCACTTCTGGCTTTTTTCTTTTTGCTTATGTGGTGCTGAGGAATCGAACCCAGGGCCTCAGGCATGCAAGGCAAGCGCTCTACCACTGAGCCAACTTCCCAGCCCCAGTATATACTTTTTTGTAGGACAGTGCTAGGAATTGAACCCTGGGCCTCAAGTGCTTGGTAAGCATTGGAGGAATGCCTCCAATCCTTCATGCTGTAGCTGTTTTTTTTTCAGATGAGGTCTCCTTGAGCTTTTTGCCAGCCTGGAAATGAGATATTCCTACCTATGCTTCCTGGATAGCTGGGATTACAAGTATGAATCACCACACTTAGCTTATTCTCTGATATAAAATCTTGCCTGGGTTGCCCGTGAACTGTAATCCTTCTATCTTTGCTTCTCAAGTAGTTGGGATTGAACTACCACTCCTAACACATCTTCCATGCTTCCTTGGGAAGCACTATGCTCTTGAACACAGTGGTTTGAGTGCAGAAGCCAGTTGGATTTCAAATTCCATGTTGCATTTTACTACTATGATTTCCCCTCTGAATCTTTTTCACTTTTCTGTAAGGTTTAGGGTGGGAGTCCAGGACCTATATTTTTTTTAAACAATACGAAGACACATTAGATTATGAAATCTACCATTCATTTTAGTGCTTCGTCCTAGTCTACAATCAGAAATCCTATATTTTCCTTGGGCTCAAACTCAGCTATGGAAATAGAGAGAAATTATCTGTGTTATTTTTCCCACTCTCCATGTTTTATATGCTGAGAGTGACCACGATTAGAGGGTAACCTTGTAATAATATACACTGCATATCTAAGAAGTGGCAAGGAATAATTTCTGGGATTTCCAAAGCACAAGGCATTAAAAAAAATCTCAAAGGCTACTAAATGTTTATCTGTAGTGCTTGGCCTGGATATCATGTTCTTCTAGATAGAGATGAAGGTGTTGGGTGCCTGGATGATATGGTCACTTGGGGAACTACTGCTGTGGTCTGGTATGCTTGCTGGGATAAACCTGAAATTCTAAAGTGTAGAGATGAGACTAACAGAGTGCACTGAAAGACACAAACATTTTCTTAAACCAGGGAAGGATTTCAGATGCAGGGACAGTTTCCTTCACAGACAGACCAGTTGTCTGATTCCAGGTATGTCGTATTTCTCTCTGTTCTAGCTTCTTGTCACCTTGACGTGAAGCTCTGACAGTGAGCACTCATCTCTCTGGGTCACTCATACTCTTCTATGTTAAGAAGAAAATCACTCGCTGCTAAGGGGTGGCTCAGATTTATCAGAGAGAAGGACACAGGGAACCATTTAAGTGTAGATCTTTAAACTTAAGTGTATCTGGTGTAGGAAGGCACATTCAGCTAGAGCTGGAGCACATACTTGGGTAGTTGGGGTACTTAAAAAACTTTAAATAGAAATACGTTGTCTCAATTACTGGGCATGTATTAGAGAACACTGACATGATTGAGAGAAGTAAATAAAACTAGTTTTCCCTGAGCTCTAAATTACACTTTCTGCTTGCTGACTAATGTGATATGTGCAGAGCAAACAGAAGCCCCGTGTGTCACTACATCATGCAGGAAGTCCCCAGGGAGGTTACTCAGCTGTAGGGTGGAAGGTGTTTTTACCTTTGCACTTTCTGGATACTCTTCTGGGGTTCGGTACAGCAAGACATGTCCTTTGCTGGGGATATTGAGATACACACAGTTTGCAGCCATGTCATCAGGCACCGTGAGCTTGTCATAGCGGTGGTCACTCATTTGTTGCATGATCTATAAAGAGACACAAAGCAGGCCTGAGCAGAGACTCCCACATTTCACAGGGAGGGAAGGTAGTGGAGTGGGATGTAAGCTTGTGATTGATGCCTTAGGCTGCTTTGCTGTTCATGCTCCAACTATTACCTCAGTCACTTAGAATAAGAGTCAGAAAACCTGATTAAGCCGTGAATCTGTCAAGGAATTGCAGAGGTTTTGTCCTTTAAAGGGCGAGTTTACGCCTAATTTTTTTTTTTTTTAAGATTTTAAGCCATTTATCACCTACCAGTAAGACACAAAATGGCCATATGTAAAAGTCCCAGTAGAGATTTTGATGAGGTTCTTCGTAGAGAAGCAGTTACTCTGATATATAGGGGAGGAAAAAGGAAGGAAGCACCATTGGAATATTCAATAATAAGAGTTAGCAGAAACACTCTCTCTCGCTCTCCTTCCTCTCTCTCTCTCTCCACTCCGCCTTCCTTTGCTCTTCTATTGCCTTAAGTTGAGTTGACTTGCCAGTCTCTTGGGAGGATTTGCCCTTGACTATGATGAGCCAACCTGACAAACCATATTCCAAAGCATCATCCTGAATAATTCTGATTTGGCAGATCTAGGGTGAAGCATAGGAATTTTCATTTTGAAGGTCCTTCAGGTAATTGTGAGGCAGGGTATCCTGAACCACACTTGGAGAAAAATTGACTTAGTAAGGTCTGTTCTTCAATTGATGCTGTTATTAGGACTTTAGTGTAAAACAACTGGAAAGATTTAAAAAAATGAACACTGTATGAAGTCTGAAAGATTGAAGTCTCATTCTTATTTACTTAATACAGTCAAAACAAAACGGTTCTAAACCAACATTCCCTTCATACAACAAAAATACTAACATCAAAGCAAAAGCTAAAGTTACTTTGGGCTTAATCATGCAAATTGTTTTCATTTTAAAAAAATTAATAGCCATGCTATTCAAAATCTGCTGAAATGTCATGTTATAAAGGTATAACAAGGGGCTGGGAAGGTGGCTCAGTGGTAGAGCGCTTGCCTTGCATGCATGAGGCCCTGGGTTCGATTCCTCAGCACCACATAAGCAAAAAGAAAAAAGCCAGAAGTGGCGCTGTGGCTCAAGTGGTAGAGGGCTAGCCTTGAGCTGAAGAGCTGAGGGACAGTGCCCAGGCCCAGAGTTCAGGCCCCATGACCGGAACCAAAAAAAAAAAAAAAAGTATAACAAGATCTTTCCCATAATGTGGTTCTTTTTTATTTTTGCCAGTCCTGGGGCTTGAACTCAGGGCCTGGGCAATGTTCTTGAGCTTCTTTTGCTCAAGGCTAGCACTCTACCACCTGAGCCACAGCACCACTTCTGGCTTTTTCTGTTTATGTAGTAAAGAGGACTCAAACCCAGGGCTTCATGCATGCTAGGCAAACATTTTACCATGAAGCCACATTCCCAGCCCTCACAATCTGGTTCTAATCTACCTTTCCAGACAGACCTTCTTTTGGAGAAATTTGGAAATGTGCTCAAATTACAAAGTAGATTTTCCCCCCCCCCTCCCCCTTCCCAGTCATGGCAGCACTGGTCGGTAAGATTTATGGTACAGAAGAATGGATGATACACTGCATGCTCCCTGTAGAAAATCCATTCCCAAGAGAACACAAACATGGCACTCAGCAAACCCTTCCTGATCCACCATTCAGATAAATCATTCACTTCTCCCAGTGTGAAATATGTCCAGGACAGAGAGAGGGCAGACGATTAGACAGTGGAATATATCTAATATGGATGCATTTGCCCATTATGAAAGGTGAAAACAGGATGTGAGCTCAGTTTTCTAAGACATTATAGCATTATAGTCCCATGGGGGAGGGGGACAAATGCAGTGATAAGTACATTACAGCACCTAGGTTAGATATTTTATACTAATTATCTCATATCAAAAGTCCCATTCTGTAGATAAAGAAACTGGACTAGAAGGCAAATAATATGCTCAAGATCATATAGATTCAACCCACACTAACCAAGAAAGAACTCTCTTAGTTATTCCTTCTTTTCCTACTGTCTCTCCCTCCCTTCCTCCTTCTCTTCCTCTCTCTCCCCTTCACCATCTCCCTTCTTTTCCTTCTTTTGGTGTTGGTACTAGGGCTTAAACTCAGGGTCTTAGGCTCTTGCTGTTTTGCTCTTGCTGCTTTTTGTACTCTACCACCAGAAGCACGCCTCTAGTTCTTTCCTTTGCTCTTCCTTGACCTCCACAGCTGCAGAAGATCTCTCCTGACTACTCATCAGCCTAATGTCCACTTATTTCATGCTCATTTGATATTTATCTTTTATTCTCTTGCATCATCCTTAATTCCCTTTTCACACGTAATTCTATTTCGACATGGTACAGTCTGATGTTGTGAAAGTACTTGAGTGGACCTTTTTCTTGCACTTCCAAATTTAAACTATTCTTTGAAGGGGAAGCCCCTACTACAGGTCAGTGATGGGTGAGGCCTGTTTTTAGAACTGCTATTGAGAAACCTTAGATCTATTCCAACCTGGGGACAATTAAGAAGTTGAAGACACACCTAAATTTTAACTTTTCCAGGCAAATTAGTAACAGATTTGACATAGCCCTATTCATGAAATGAATAGGCTCAGAAATAATATTGAGAAGCCTAGGAGAACATTTCCAGACTCAAATAGCTTTATTCTGTTATGAATTGCCATTCAATTAGTTTTCTGCACTTTTTGTTTTGTTGGTTTTTTTTTTTTTTTTTGGTGGGTGGGTCGGGGGCTTGGTCCCAAATCACAATAACAACCTTTCATCTGTTACGGTTTGGGAGGGAACATAGAAAGATATGAGCTCTGGAGTCAGACTTGGATTCAAAGCTGGACACCCATCTTTTATTACCTATGGAATTTTATCTTTTACATTTCTTGATTTCCTCATCTGCAAAACTGGGATAACAGTTTTTCATTTTTCACATACTTGTTATCAAAGTTAAATGAAGACAATGTATATAAAAAGATACAGCTGTAAGGCTGGAAGTGCGAAATAAGCTACTAGTGGATTATGGCAGTGTGGCCAATCTCCAGTCTGCAAGCCCATCTTCTGTTCTGGTTGGCTCTGACTTTAAAGCTCATTTGCTTCCCTCCCTCTCTCAAGCCCTCCCTCATTCCCTCTCTTCCTTCTCTCTCTCTCTCTCTGTCTCTCTATCTCTTTTGTGCTGCCATTGGCACTCCATTTAAATCATGCATTCAGTCCTTGAAGTGTGTTCTTAACATAGCCTGTTTTGGAGGTCAGTTCTTATTTTTGAAATCACATAAGGTTACAACTGAAATTGGAGGTGTAGCTCAAGTGGTAGAGCTCCAGCTCTGAGCAGAAGATTGTAACTTCGGTGGTTTCTCTAGCCTTTTCTCCAAGGCCTCCATTATTTAACACATAATTGAATAGTCCTGCAACATTGGTATCCTGCTTAGATCTCCTAGAGAGAACTCCTATAAAGTTCACAAACTTTTGTGAAATCTTTGTCTCTTTCTGCCTCTGTCTGTCCGTCTCTGTGGCTTGGGCTAGATTGTTCAACTGCTAGCTTTTGAATGCAGGTCCCAGGACTAATGAATAGAGCCTTGGCTCCAGAATAAGAGACTGTGTGATCTAGGGAGAAGTCCTTAATCAACATAAGTCTTAGTTTCCTCACCTGTAAAATGGGATAGCAATAGTCTACTGATTCCTCATAACTCTAAAGTTTATTTTAAAAGCGACAGAAAATGTATGTAAAGGACTTAGCACAAGTTCCTAGTACATATTAAAGTGAAATAAATGTGAGTTCCTTTCCCTCTTTGACTTTTGCAAGTCACTTGCATATGGCAGGTGATCAAATTCTATTGGTAGCGAATTAATTTGTTTCTTCTTTTCATTCATTCAACAGATATGGGGAAACTCACTATGGTGAATGGTGTGACTGATTGCATCCATGAGATATGTGAGTAACTGTAATCCCTCCAAAAACAAGACAGGATTTATGTCCACAAATAGAAACACAGTTCACAGGCTAAAATCAACGATGCCAAGCTTGGGCATTTTTGTAAAGCCACATAGGAGAGCACTCTACTCTGTGGTCCTAACCCAAATGACCTTTGATGACAAATTAGGATAGTAGGAATAGGGAGCCTATGATGTACCTGAGGCATAAACCAACCAAACAAAGAAAATTGGTATACACAAATGCACAAATTTCCATCAGTTTGTGACCCCCTACTTTATTTTATATAATTTTATTTAATTTGTGCTATGCTAGGAATTGAACCACTAGGTTACATCCCCAGTTTATGACTTATAATTTAATAAATGAGTCCAGAAATTCAATGAATGGACAGAATTCTTCATGTGTGTAATAGAGATATCTCTAGATGTGCCACTAGGGATTTTGTTAGAATTTGTAAGACTTTTCAGTAATTGCTATGGTCAACCTGTTTCTTCTCAGATGCAGAACAGAGTGCCCCGTGTCTGAATTCTCCTCACTGTGTGCTACTAAGGTTGGACCAAGATGGTCAGGCTGCTGTCTGTCTTCAGAGGTTAGAACTGTCTGTCTTCCTTTAATACAAGCTAAACCTAGTTTACCTTAGAAGTTCTAGATTTCTTCCTTATGGCTGAGACGACAACTCCTTGTGCCAAGGACTTATGGAGGAGAGCTCCAGTGACTTTAGGATTTCAGAGTTCCTGAAAACATGGCTTGTATAGCCACCGCTACTATGAGCACTTAGAAACCGCTAAAAAGCACACTGTTCGGGCCCACAAGTGAATTGGAAGTAGTACAAAATGCTTGGCATCCCTGTCTCCATTCTTCATCTGACTTTGCTCTGAGCAGTCCCCTTGGAATCCAGACAGAACTGGCCCAATCACTGAGTGACTTGCCTATGACTGGGCCCTGCCTGCCTAATCATGGGAGATGATCACCCAGACCACATCTCTGACCCCCTGGAGCCCCAGACCAGACCACATCTGTTGGATAATTATGCTTACCTTTCACCTCCTGCCTCAATTCTT